TTTTTAACCGCGTAAGCTGCAGATCTAAGTCTCTTCGCCAATCCGTTAATATGAATGGACCACTGAAGTTTTGGCTCCTTGGTGATTCCAAGAATTACAGTTGTATCATCCAGATTCAATTCCTCATCATTTATAATTGGTCTAGTGGATACTTGATATTTTATGGTTATGGATATAACCATTGCATTTTTTGCACAAAATTTAATGCATTTTGTTTTTTTTTTCATTAAGTAGAAGGTTATTCATACTAAGCCATTGGACAATCGAAGAGAGATCATTGTTCACATAGTCAAACTGTATATTGTAATATTTGTCGTTTGTTTTTAAAAATCAAGGACATATCAACAGCAAACAAAACTATCTGATGTGTTTTCTCTACCATGAACGGTTACCATTTATATAATATATAATAAACAAGAAAGAGGAAAGGGCCAAGAATTTAACCCTGTTGTACCCCCGACTACTGCCGACCCAGAGGACCTCTTAACATTAACCTTCTGAGTTCTACCCTGAAATAGAAGATTCAGTGCGGTATTCTTGATGTCATAGTGCAATTCAACTGCATGCTCCTATTCCACCATGCCTCCTGGTGGTTAAGGACAAATGTTTGTTTTAATTTAATTAACTATTAAATACTTAAGAAGTCATCTGGAACATGGTGTAATGGATGCAGCTCCTTACAAAAATTGTGTAAAACAAAAAACTTGGCGATTAAAAAGTGTGGCGGAGTTTATTGCCAGTACTTCTCTTCCGTTCTACGCCCTTGATTTGAGAACTGGCAGTAAATGTAAAATTAGAAGCATTTAATAGATATGTATTTCTTTTGACGTTCATAAGTGTACATTGTGTTAGCTATATGAATAAATGATTTTGACTTGACTTTGTTGTCGCCATACCACTTTATCCTCAGCTTGTTTCAGTGCAAAAGAGATGCTGAGACCCATAATTGTCTTTACCTGGCCAAACCAACTGGTAGGCGATCGACTCTCCTGCCATCACTACTCCCTACCATTACCGTTATCGAGACTATTTGTTTATCTCCTGGCAATATGGCCAAAGTTTTTTTTTTTTCCTTTTAAATCCATCTGCAATCAGCCTCATGGCTTTCATCAGATTTTATGGGAAATGATGGCAATTAGGGAACGCAAATCCAATAATTATTATTCCCTCCATAATTTGTAAACTGTCAGACTGCGGCAAGTTTCACCCTTTTTAGCCGATACACACTGTCCGTCGTTTCCAAGAGGCCCGAAGCTAGGGGGTTGACGTGTTGCTGAAGTCTCATTTTGTATCGCACGGTTGATCTTTTAATGTCTTCCTCGACAGTGGCAATTCCCAAATATTTATGGACTTCATTATTTCGTGTTAACCAAGGCGCACCGCTCATATTTCGCAGTGTTTTGTTTTGTAGCCGCTGCAGGATTTCGATATTAGAGCGGCTTGCTGACCCCCAGAGCTGTATCCCATATAACCATATTGGTTTTATTACGGTTTTGTAGATGAGAAGTTTATTGTCCAAACTAAGTGCGGCATTTCTACCTAATAGCCAGTTCATGCTACGAAGCCTACCAATAGCATGCTCCTTCTTGGCTTTTATATGGTCTTGCCAAGTCAAGCGTTTGTCCAGGTGCATGCCCAAATATTTGGCTGTAGTCCGTTTTGGCAAAACAGCTCCCTCCAGAGTCACCGGTGAGCACTCTTCTCTTCTTAGTGTGACCGTGACATGAACTGATTTTGCTGGGCTTGCCCGTATCCTCCACTTCTTTAACCATAATCCTATTTTGTCCAGGCATTTCTGTAGTTTTTGGGATGCTTCGTTGGGATTTTTATTGCAGGAAAGGATTGCAGTGTCGTCTGCATAGGTTGCAATGACAACATCATCCGTAACTGGCATGTCGGCTGTAAAGATTGTATTAAGGAATGGACCCAGCACTGAGCCCTGAGGCACTCCTGCTTCTATTTGGCAGATTGATGATAGATAATCCTCACATTTGACCCGGAACATATGGTTTTGCAAATAAGACTTCAGGAGAAGGTAGGCACTATTTGGTAGGTTCAACTTTAGCTTACACAGGAGGCCCTTATGCCATACGCGATCAAAAGCCTACTATATATCGAGAAATACTGCTGAACAATACTCTTTTCTTTCAAGGGCTTGCCGTATTGTATGTGTAACACGATGTATTTGTTCCATTGTTCCATGTTGTGCACGAAAGCCAAATTGGTGGTCAGGTGACTAGTTTCTCAAATACTTTTGATAGCAAGGGGAGAAGACTAATAGGCCTGTATGATGAAACTTCTGTTGGAGGTTTTCAAGGTTTCGGAACCATGTTTATAATCGACACCTTCCATAGTTTTGGGAAATATTGTAGTCTTAATATTGCGTTAAAGAGGATTGTTAACAGAACGATACCTTTTTTCGGTAGTTCTTTAAGTACTACTGCGGTAATAAGATCGAAACCGGGTGCTTTTTTTGTTTTAAATTATTAATACATTTTTTTAATTCTGACGGTGTAACAAGTTTTAGTGGTAAAGACATTTGCTGATCACTATTTATGATTTCATCAAATTCGTCTTCGGTTTGCATTATGTCCGGTTCGTTATGGTCTAAGATCCCGATATACAACGACCTTCACGGAGATGCTTATTTAATGAAACGTATTTTATATTTAGTCAATAAATATAATCCATATGGGTTGCCTAGCAAATTTCAGTCCAGAGTATTTTAATTAATATTAAAAAAAAAAAATATTTTTAAATATTTCACCGGTATGATTATTAGATAAATTCTATACCAATCGAAAGTATGAAGCCCATAGAATATGCAAACGTTAGGTTGTTTTTAATCAATTAATTATTTATGTGCCACTAAAGTATATATACATCTTTAGTAAAAAAGAAAGTTATAGTGATACATATATAATAGTACCCTGATTAAAAATATTGATTGAAAAAAATAAAAAAAATTTACTACATGCAAATTATAAAAAGAACACATGCCCCTGCATGTGTTCTTTTGGCCTTTTTAATGATTTCGTCATCTTCCAGAGTGAATAATCGTCTGCTTTATATGGCGACAATGTCTGTAATTTATCTTGCAATGTACGATTTTCATTTTCTTTAAGCAGTTCTTTTAAATCTTTTTGGGCTATATTCAACGCTTTTTTATCTTGCCGATTCCTGCTGGTATGCCATTAAATATATGGCCAAAGTTGAGAATGGACTTATTGTATCTCTTTGCCGTCCATGGTATTCACAAAATAATTCTGTAACATGATCACTATCTTTTTTCGGTCTGCTGCACGAATTGACCAGGACTCTGATCCGAACAAAAATATCGTCGCTTAGCTAATAGATATATTATTAAAAATCTATCAAATTATTTAAAAAATATAATAAATAAGAATGGTTTTATCACTATAGGAGACAATTAAACGAATGTATGTATGTAACTTTATTTATTGTATTAAAATATAATAATACTTGACGACGAAAGTTGTAATGTCTTTGCCAGAGTATAATACTAATAAATCGTGGTTTAGCGTTTAATAACAGTATTACAAGTAAAGTCTTATCTAAGGAACTTCAAAGATACTACGTTTAAAACACAGCGGTAGGAATGTCTCTGAACGTCGAGTTATTATTACAATAATAAAAGCAAAAATATGTAAAATGTAAGATTAACAATCTCAAGTATTTGATTAAAATAGGAATGTATAGTTCCTTAATATACAAGTAAATTTTCTTAAGACTCATTCAATTTGTAAAATACATCTTATCACTAAGCAATAAAGGCGTTATCAAACTTACAGCAAAATTGATTGTCCTTCTCTAACAATATCTAAGAAAAAGATACAGCTATAACAAAGGAAAATTATGCCTGTGATCTCTAAGAACACGAAATAGATAAACAAAGATATGAAATGTAGGCACCGCAAGCGTACCGAAAAACCGCATAAGATACATTTTTCATATAAGAATGGGAGTTAAAGCGTTTTTTTGAAGTTATACTTCTTTAGGCGCGTTATGAAAAATTGATGAGTGAAATTTTACGATGCGCGCGCACCGTGACATAAAATTAACATAATGAAGTTGCCCACGGAAGATGCTACGGCATTGAACATAATTTAAAAACAACATTCGAATAATAATAGAATTTATGTTACACTTAATGTAAGAGAATAATAATAAATATTTATTTATTTAATTTTTCAAATGTAAACTGAACTGTATTGACTATAATGACTCCTTTTCCAGTCTTTGATTATTTAATTGTAATTAATTATTTGCATGCAATCAAAAACTATTTTTATTAATGCCAAAGAAGTATAACTTGTTACGCGCGTACATAAGTACACGCACCCTTTTTTATATAGAACAGGGAGAGACTCTCAATGCCAAGGGCGCGGTGGTTTTAAGAATCGGTACCCTCTTTTCTTGAAGGACCCTCGATTAGAGCGATGGAAGCCTTTCTTACATATTCCATAGTCATAATGATATTTGTAATTATTTCATAACTTTTGAATTTATTACAATTAAATATAGAAAAGTATACAAAGGAACGTTTCACGTACGAAAATGGAGTCAACCATAAATAGTTCGGTTTTATACAATTCAAATCAAATCTTACAAATAATGATTTTTGTGATATATTAAGACTTATTTACATTAGAATACTAAGGAATGTCTATAAAATTTCCCGAAATAATGCAAACAGTAGCTGCATTTTATAAATTCACAAACATATATGGAAACGTGTGTGTATTTAACGGAACATAATAGGAAAAGCTGTTAAAAATAAATTGTATTTGATTAGTAGCAATTACAAAAAAATCTCTAATTTGGTAATTAAAAAAATATATAATAGTTATATACTGTACAATAACTTTTCATATAATTATAACATTGAATTAAATTAAAAAAGCAACTTCTAATCTCATACATGAACAAAAGTACTACCAAAAAGGTAAAGAAAAAAATCTAGTTTTTTCTTATTTAATCTAGCTTTGTGACGCGCGCTGTTGTCTCCATGCTGAATGGAATCCTGCTGCTGTATCAGAATCCGAATCACCATTATCAACACCGATTTGTGCTCGAGGCTAGAAATTTTGTAATCAATGTAAATGAACGGTGTCATCGTAAAGTTTCTAACCAACTTAAAAAAAAATTGAGGATAGTGATGGCTATTATTAAAATTGTATTGAGGTCAAAAAAATGTAGAAAAAAAACAGAGGATATTTTTTTAAAAGCAGCCTTTGTGCCTGACACGCCGTCGACTTTTTCGGTCTAGGTCATTCCTCACGCTGTCTTCCTACACCCTACGAGGGTTAAATTAGCAGACAGACCGCAATGTCTGTTGAAAGCACATCGGACCTACGACTCAGGGATTAGAGTAGCACGCCACTAGCGCTCATATTAAAATTATTACAGCCAAAACAAAATCTTCTTACTTTCAACTATTCTATAATTCTTTATGGAATTAAAAATGGACCACATAACAAAGACAACTGGAGCTTAATAACTACTCTAAAAATATGTACCAATCCCGGCTTCGCATGGCTGGTCATTTTTGTTTGTATGAATATGTCAAACTTCATACAGAAATATCTGACGGCTCATTGGTCTAGTGGTTAGTACCCCTGGCTGCGAATCCATGGGTCCCGGGTTCGATCCCCGGCTGAGACAAACATCGATGTGATGAGCATTTGGTGTTGTGCTTAGGTCTTGGGTGTTTAAATATGTATTTATATGTCTATCTATCTATAATGTGTATGTATATCCGTTGCCTAGTACCCATAACACAAGCTTCACCAGCTTAGCATGGGACTAGGTCAATTGGTGTGAATTGTCCAATCATATTATTATTATATGTTTAAATACCTGATCAGGCGTAGATGGCGTACTACGGCTGTGAGACGCAACACCTCGTCTTCCGCTCGCACCGCGCCTACGAACTTTGCTATTCATTGGTGGAAGCATTTTGTCTTCTTTCTGTAATTAACAGATTTAGATGAAAAATTGTTTTTAATAATCAAAATCCCGGAAACTCTCAATTGGTAAGAAAAGTAATCAGATTTCTGTTTCTTTTTCCTCACGATCAAGCCACTGTCACCGTTCAAGTATTACGTAAGAAAACTACATTTATTTTTCCCCCTCCCCCTTGTGAGCATATGGAAGCAAAGCTCTTAAAATGTGTCAAGTGTCAAGCTTAAAACTGCGTATACCGTACAACCATTAAGTGCTTTTAAAAATATTAACTGTGGTTGTTCGTTGAGATAAGTGTTCTTAAAGTCAAGAACTATCAAAGTTTCACGTTCATTATCATTTCAACGAAACACACAACATTTATAAAGTATTTACAACTTTGATATTAATAATTTTTGCATTACAAATATGAGATACAAATATTCCAATACTACAAGATACGCTTATTATTATTGCTATGCTGTTTATTATTTTATTGTATTACAACTTTGTTATACCGTCACATTCACTGACAGATGACACATCAACTGACAAGCACAGACTACTGAAAAGAGACGAGAAGATCGATTAGATTGTCAAAGTGCACAAGCTTGCACGGATATAATATTTCTCTCGGTTACGTTAAACAAACTTGATAAAGAAATGAAATGCAAAGCCTGCAACAAGATAGTGAAGCTAAGTGAAGACAAAGTTTGTTCTCTGTGTTCTGGGCATTACCAATGCTTGGGTCTTTCCCGAGAATTTTCACAAAGAATAGAGCAAACAAAAGCTTATTCGAAGTATTCCAATTGTAATAGGATAAAAAAAGAAAGAAAATAGCACCCCAGTAAGGCAAGAGAATCCGAGTGCTGCAGCGTATTCACCCTCAAAGTTGAGTGATGTAATGGATTCTAACATGGATGAGCTGAGCCAAACCCTAAGAGACACTTGCAACTATTCTAGCACAAGTTAGACAGCAGATAATATTAGAAAAAAGTAAATTCACGATGATTTTGAGCGGCTGAAAGAAAATTTCAATTACTTTACATCACAATTTGAAGGTATAAATAAGTAAGCAGGAAAATAACTTTTTTTTATTTACAGAGACAGTGAACTTTGTGGAGTCATCCAATGGCGTAACAATAGGGTGGCAGGGCTGGCAAAATGCCACGGGCCCCTGCCCAAGAGATATTCTATGGAAGAATGTGAAGTCTCCAATAAGCATTGGGCTAGTGTGGGGACTACAGACCTCCCTCCCTCTCGCCTAAGAGAGGTGGCATAAGGCCATTAGTCGGACATTTTACAACGTGTAATTGAGTACGCTTAAAATCTCGAAGTTTATTAAAATTAAACGTGACGATTTTTACTGATAGGGCCCCATCAAAAGAATTGCCACGGGCCCCAGATGGTATAGTTACGCCACTGGAGTCATCTTAATAAAATTGATCAGCGGTCAAAGTCCTGTAATATAGAAATTCAATGCGTTCCTGAATTCAAATCTGAAAATCTTCCGACGACCATCAAACAAAGTCATAGTCATTATACATGGTTCACTAAGTTTTAGGAAGGTAAATCCTAATAAAAATATCCTCAAAGCTTTCTAGATTTATCTCCAGAACAAAAGGGAGTCCTAGTGTCGCTGTTGCTATCTTTACCAGCCTCTTTAGAAGCGAATTGGAGTTCAATAGTTGTATCTGGTCTCCAATGTATTTAACACATTCAGCTTTATGAGAAAAAAGGTGAAAAAGAAGTTTTTATACCATTTATATTTCGAAAATAAATAGCGCAATTTTGAGTAAATACGAGGATAGGATACATTTTAATTATAACTTGGAATATGAGTTGCTTATACCTTTTTAAGCTAATTAACGGAGTTCTGTATTTCTAGGAAACTTTAACGTATATCAACAAGTTTCTCGGGTCGGCAGTCGTTTGTACAGTCTAAGATGTTTTCACATCCCAGCTAGTCTTACAAAAGTTGGCAAAAACTCTCCAATTAATAGGTTATGTCGCTACCTTTGATATTGCAGAGCTTTTACGTATTTCTTGGTTCTCTAGCCTCGGCTAACATAATTAGGACACAGTACATATAATTCAATAAATGATTCAAATAGTTTAATTCTTTCTTGATTTTTATTTTTGAAGTTATACTTCTTTAGACGCGTTATGAAAAATTTATGAGAGTGAAATTTTACGATGCGCGCGCACCGTGACACAAAATTAACAGAATGAAGTTGCCCACGGAAGATGCTACGGCTTTGGACATAATTTAAAAACAACATTCGAATAATAATAGAATTTATGTTAGACTTAATGCAAGAGAATAATAATAAATATTTATTTATTTAATTTTTCAAATGTAAACTGAACTTTATTGACTATAATGACTCCTTTTCCAGTCTTTGAGTATTTAATTGTAATTAATTATTTGCATGCAATCAAAAACTATTTTTAATAATGCTAAATAAGTATAACTTCTTACTCGCGTACGCACCCTTTTTTAACTGTTGTTTGTATAAACACTGTTGTTTGTATCTAATTGGACGACATCGCTCTTCATATTTTTTTATGAACGTCAATTTGTTTGAGGACTTTTAGAAATCTTCGAAAGTGCATTTAGTTTTCAAGCAATAGACAATGTGCGGGTTGCCATATGTGTAAAAATTAAATAATTACCCACCACCCCCGATGTCATCAAAATAAGAATATCATGTCTCGCTATAATGCTTATTTAATATTTGAACGACCACATACTGTGTTAAATGCGCACATAGAAAGACCATTTGTGCAAAGCCGGTTTTCGAAGCTTTGGTCTCAGGAATGAGAATCACAGTGGTAGTAGTAGCGTAGTAAGCGTAGTAAGTAGCCTCAGGAAGTACTTAATACATAATATCTAACTTCCTTAGTATTGTTTATATGATAAGGGGGCAGGCGACTACAAGACGTCCTAGAACAGTCAGTTTTAGTAGGTGCGTTGCCGACCTCTGAGGGAGCAGTATGCATTTTAAACAATTGGAGGTCGTATCTGCCAGGAATCGATTCCACAGTTCACAAAAGAAAATGTCTTGTGAAACGGACTGTGGAAGATTCCAGCCATCAAGGTCATCCGGATGAAATTTTGTTATGCAAAGTTAATTCAAATAATTAACATGAAGGTCCATTTGGAAGGTTTTTTAATTTAGATTTATATTGGTTGTATAACTTACTAGCTAGCCCTGTGAACTTTGCACCGCCTAACAGTCAACGAATGTCGTGTTATAGTCAATGGTCAATTATCTCCAAAAATTGCGTGACGTAATATCACGAACGAACGAACTCCCTATCACGTTCTCAAGTTATAAGTGTTCGAAAAAACACTATTTTATATATTACTAGCTGACTCGGCAAACCTTTGTTTTGTCTATATTATTTCTAGGATACATTTTTTAGTTCAATAAAAATAACTATCTACAATAATAAAAAATAGGGGTTGATCGTAGAGGAATTAGGGGTTGTATATATTTTTGTGTGTTGTATCATAAAATGTTTTTTTTTAAATGAGGACCCCTTATCACTTAGGGGTTTGAAAGATAGATAGTAGCCGATTCTCAGACTTACTGAATATGCATTAAAAAATTCATAAGAATCGGTCAAGCCGTTTCGGAGAAGTTTGGGAACGAACATTGTGACACGAGAATTTTATATAATATTAGAAGTAACGTTTACTTCTGTCATAAGTTAAAGATACAGTGGCGACATCTATTGGATATTATACGTATTAAGTAAGCTTAGAAATTTGATATAGAGCCATCTAGCGGAAAACGAATAAACTAAGTTGTCGGTGCCAGTTTGGACCATTAATTTTGAAATTTAAAACACGTGAACTAATCATAGACTACATTCATAGATGGCGTTGTTTCAGAATATTATGTATTAACAATGTCCTTGTCATAATATTTGTTTTTACTGAAATTATTATAACTATCATGATTAGACATGTACACAAAATTTAATTAGTAAACACATAAGCCGCAGACAGTACCTGTATATTATCTGCCGATCCCCACGATTTAAGCTGATCGCTATCATCTGATCTTCTATCAAGTTCTCTCTCTCGGGCTGACTTCGGAACATACGCTGAAGATCTGGTCGCACCTACGCCTAGGAAGTTACTAAACGCCTCTGTCGTCTTCTTTACGCGAACGTTTAGGGAGCCAATGCGAAGAAACCCCTCTTTTCTAAGAAAACACAGAAATAATATAAGACAGATAAAAAACAAAACTAAAATAAACAATTACTAACAAAAAAGAATTTTTTGTTGAAAAATTATGAGTTTTAAATCGACTGAAAAAAATGAAGTCATTTTTAGAGAAGTAAAAATTACATAATTTTGATTCAGTATTTTAGATAAGTACGTGAGAAGAATTTTAGAAATTCGTAGTTAGAATTTCTACATCTAATTTTAACTTGATCTACACTATAAGCTCGACCAGAGTTCGTCTGCGATCTCGGTCTGGTAAAAAATTATTTAAAACTCGTCCTAAGAGACAATTAATTATTCATAAAATATCTAATTGCACCGTTTTGACTAAAGTACACATCTCTCTTTTCATCACAGCGTTACCACAATTTGACAGAAAGATACGAATTAGTACTTTAGTAATAAGGGTGATTAAATAGATTAAGTTGTTATATTATTACTAGCTGACCCGGCAAACGTCGTTTTGGACGGTATATTATTTCTAGGAAACATTTTTTAGTTCAATAAAAATAATTACCTACTATAATAAAAAATAGGGGTTGATCGTAGAGGGATGACAATTAAGGGTTGTATGTATTTTTGTATGCTGTATCATAAAAACAATAAAAATTTAGGTGTGGGACCACTCTTAACATTTACGGGGATGAAAAATAGATGTTGTCCGATTCTCAAACTTACTGAATATGCATTAAAAATTTCATAAGAATTGGTTGAGCCGTTTCGGAGGAGTATGGTAAAAAACATTGTTACACGAGAATTTTATATATTAGATTATTTTAGATTTTAGTTTACTTTAGTTATAGTTAGTGTTACATGTTATTTTACGATATTTTTTTTTAATTATTTATGCACTTCTTGTATTTTATCCTTTGTAGGTGTTTTTTTTATATTTTACCATACTAGGGTTGCCTGGAAGAAATCGCTTGTAAGCAATAAGGCCGCCCGTTGTCTAATAACTTATGTAACCTGCTTTTTTTATATGTATGTTTTTGTATAGGGTAACTAAGTACAAATAAATATGCTGTCCTATTTTGTCTTCATTGGTTACCTAACAATAAACAATATAATTCTTTATTTGACAAAACACACGGACATCACAACCTTCACCAATCTTACTTGAATATTCATAAAGATATTGAGGTATATAAGGCGAAATCTGAATACTTGGCGACGGTAATGTATGGTGTTGAGAATTCCTCTCCAAACCTGCAATGTAAGACCCAACAAAGAGTTCAAAAGCGCCAAGATCCATGGAGACATCGACAGCGCTTGTGTATGTCAGTGGGTCAATCAAAACGAAGCGGTTGTTATATCTCGACAACAGCTGAATTTAATTAATCATAAAGAAGCTTATCATCATCATCATTAATAATATATCACCTTCACCAACACTCACACACCGTACAAGTAATACTTGCGAATTTCTAAACGATGAAAAAAAGTTGTGGCGTTGTTGAGGGCATTGATGTAATATCAATACAAAATTTTCTGACAAAAGAAATCCGATACACGTGTCAATACATGACATGTTTGTGTTTGCCACATATTGAAAGTGTCCGATGACAATTATTATTAAAATCTGCTTTCTGTCTGAATAATAGTATTTACACAATTATCCTGAATAATCTAAAACTAGATATTCCAACCGTCAATGGACTAGTTTGCATATAAATAATTATTAATCAATTATACTCAGAAGTTTGTCAGTTTCATGCTCAAGCTACGGTTTCCTAGAAAAGCGGTGCCGTTATCTAACGGCCGTAATGTAACGTTGGGTGACGTCACTCATACGTTATCTGTAAATAACATCGGAGTAGGTTTTCTAGTGTCCCCTGAACGTCAAATAGCGGTGCTGTCATTTGCATGACGGACATAGCGGTGATAAACACTAGTTCAACGTTTTACGCGTGTAGCGGTGTGCATATTTAATTAATACAATAACTTGGACGAGCGAAAATGATGAACAATAAATTGATTTTGTTAAAAATCATGAAGCTTTGTACAATATCAAATCCAAAGAGTACAGACAAGCTCAGATGAAGCAAAATTTTTGAACGAAATTGGAGTTTAACTTTTTTTCGTCTTCTGATGACTCTTCATCATCCAAAAATACTAATAATGCTATGTCCAAATCGTCCATTTTTCACCAGTGCACGACCTACGCTTGAGTGAGTACTGAGTGACTACGATTAAATATGGTCGCACTACTTTCTAGGAAACCACAGCTTGGCCACCGTAAAGACGGCCGTTATTAACAACCGCAAAATGACGGCCGTTAGTTAACGGCGCCGCTTTTCCAGGAAACCGTAGTTTTACAGGTGAAATGGGATTAATTCTAAGAAAAAGTATAAACATTGTTTACTTCTGTATGAGCCCGGAGATAAAGAGGTATCCATATGAACTAAATAGTGCCTGGGCTTTTTCCCCGACCAATCCCGGACATTAGGGTCAGCATCTGGAAAAGAAAAATATTTTTTATAAGTAACACAACACTAAAATATTTATTATTATATTCGGTCGCGGCTTCTTTTGACTAGTTTAAAATAAAAAAAAAACAAAGTATTTATTTAAGTATATTTTTTTTAATGAAAAATCCTGACTAATCTGCCACTTGGTTTACATAAACGGTTGTAATAAATGAAAACCTATTTTATATGCTGTATGTAGATGTATATTAAAAAAAAGCTTGTATCACGCACTGTTTATAGTTTCACGGTTTACTTATTTTGACCGCTCTGGGAAGTTAAAATTATAAGTATTTAAGTTTAAGTTAAAATACTTCAGATATCAACATATTTCTAATACAACGAACTCTAACACGTTTGGCGATGACACCAATGTGGCAGAGCGCTCCATCTACCGATATTACAAAACTTATGTGTGACTGTAGTCCGGTGAAAGTACAAAAGACAGTCACTAGATGGCGCTAAACGATGTTACTACTGTTACTAAATGTTTTGGTTGCTTTTTATACAAACGTACACTAACTTGATGCTCTATTCTATAACGTGGTAATTTCTCTAATTAGAAGTTTTAATTTAAAATATAATTTGATGGTAATAAGTATTTTCGAAAGTGCATGGCGTCAAATTGGTTAGTTTAAAATATATTCCTTTATTGTACATAAAATTAATAACATTTATTAGTTATATAAACTATTACTAGATGGCGCATACGATAGCGCTAGTAGTCAACTCTACCAGACTGCCTACCTTTTTGACATATTTAAATATCCTACTTAGTTAAATATAATACTTACATATATATACCTATGTATAATAACAAATTCATTTAGGGTCTGTTTCACAATGTATGGATAAAGTACCAAATAGCTATACAACGCATAAATTATTTGAAAGATAAATTGTGCTATTTGACATTCATCGGACTCATAACTTAAGATGGACTTTATGTGACGAATAGCGCTATCTGACAGTCGTGAAACACAACAAAAGTTTTTATCCTACCAATAAGTCAAAAATTGTAAATTTGGAACATTTTATATTTTTGTACGCGTATTAATTAAGTTAAATAATACTTAAAACTATGTAATACAATCCAAAATTATTACTTTGTCTTTCCATCGTCCGAATTTAAACAAACATTTTGAATCCCAGAGCTCTCAAATCTCAATTAATTTGTGACTCGCAACAACTGTTCTTTCATCTATTAGAAAAGCAACCTTAACGCATATTATTTATTTTTAGTAGGTAGCTGTTATAATAATTACGAAACCAAATATATTAACGATATTGTTAACCCTATATGTATATTGTATATACACACTATCATTATAACTATACATTTATAATTCCATTTTAATTTCCAATGCCGCTATAAAATTTACCTACAAGTTATAGGAATAATGGTACTTGGGGTAACAAACAAGAATACTTACTATAGACTTCTACTAGCAGCCTGTACACGTTTTCACGTCGAAATTGCATCGCGATGTGAAGTGGTGTGTAACCCTAAAAATTGTATCCAAATATAATATCTGTATCTCATTCTGCTCACACTATAGAAGATAGATTTAAAAATAAGACTGATTTAACAGTCTAGTATCTACCATTACTTAAAATACTTCTTTCGAAAACAATTGCCGAAAAACAAGCGAATCCGTTAAGACTTAAGGATTATTATTTGTAAACAAGTACGGGTTTTAATTGACAAACTCCGACCAAGTAAAATTTCCTATAATTATTCATAGGAAATTTAACTTTAACTATAATAAAATACATTATGTTGCGTTGCGTGCGTTCGCTTCGTATCGGAAGCAACTAAATTATTTAAGAACCTAGACAATACTGTAGAATGAAACTTGTGTCATGCAATATGTATGTAGTAACAATTTGTTTTTTACAACAATTACACTGGATTGTATTTATACAGAATCCTTAAAAATAAACAAAAGCTATTTTGTTTATCCATAAAATTGTGATACAGAGGGCCCGGGCCCCAGGGGGTCATAACCCCCTCGCCTCTAGCTCCGCCTGGATACGAAACAAGTATAGAATATTCCCAAAATAAACTAAAAAGCTTCATTATATCGTCACTTCAATATCCAATAATCAAAATCTTTGAACCATAAAATTTTCGTAACATATTAGGTTGAGTGGATATTAAAACAGATTCAATATTATAGCGACAGCTGCGTTACAGCGAATTTGAAGAAAAAATATACGCTGCGTCATAAAACGGTATACGCAAATATATTAAAATTACTTATTTTCTGGGCCGGTTTTCTCACGATGTTTTACTTCAGAAGTGTTTAAAACACACATAGAAACACATTACACATACATAGGTTGCCTGTAATTAATGGCAAACGGGCAGGAGGCTCACGTGATGTTAAGTGATACCGCCGCCCATGGCCCACTTCTGACATGTGTGCTTTGTACGCACGCACTTTTTTTATGTAATATGAGTCAAATGGACATGAGGATCATCTGATGTCAAGAGATACCACTGCCCATGGACACTGTCATTGCTAGAAGGCCCGCAAGTGTGTTGCCGGCCTTTTTAGAATTGGTAAGCTCTTTTCTTGAAGGACCCTAAGTGAAATTGGTTCGGAAATACTTGAGTGGGCAGCCGGTTCCACAAAGTGGTGGGAATAAACACTAAAATATTTTTATTAATAATTAGTTTGCGTAACCACGAGAGATGGAAGATTATTCATATAATAGTTATGTATTCTCGTCAAACTGACAAGTATAAGAATTGGAGCGCCTCAAGCATCACGATTTTCGGGCGATTTTTCAAATCTGATTTTCTTAAATTATTCAATCTATTTCTTACAAATTGGTTCGTTTTGTGATTCTATTTTAAACTTCGGATAGGTTTGGGATTAATATTTGTATCGCGTCTACGATATATTTTAGAATGATTTGATTAAACTTTATTACAGATAATAAAAAAAGGACATTCAGTTAAAATAATCGTGCTCTAACACTATTCCGTGTCGTGGGCAGCTGGTCTTCAATTGACATATTAATGATTTTAGGTAATTGTAATAATTCCTACATCACACTTACAATTTTATAATAAAACTATTATGCAAAATAATAATACTATCCGTTTCAGCATAGGACAAGTTCAGAAGATGTTGCTAAAGTGTTAGTAAATGCATAAAGTGGAAGCGTTAGTGAAAATTTTGTGTTTAAGCAAGGTTTAAAATAAAGCATCTATGTGAGAAAAATAATTTTAAAATAGATTGTTATATTGAAATCTGTTCGCGTCCGTATAGACGATAAAGTTAGTTATTAACAGTTCGAACGCATTGAATTTTCATACATTTTCTATAAACGGAATCCATTTGAATTGATGTTAGTGCTTCTGTTTGTTAGTGAACTTTTCAGACAAAAATACAGTTAGTATTTTTGTTAAATCTATTAAACCTATTTGATTTTACATACATTACAGTTTTCGTTGTCATGTTTACTAAAGATTCTCCAAATTTCATTTCGATATCCAAGCATTCATTAAAACATATGATTTTCTGTTTTCATGAATGCATGTTTTGCCAAAGTGATTCATCATAATAGCTTTATAAGCATATATGTAGTATATTTTGATTAATTTGAATTCACTTGTCTTTAAGATATAACGCAATACAAATGAACTAAATAATTTAAGTTATGATTGGCATTTAGCAACCGCACAACCCAGTTTATATTTTGTTACATTAATATGTATATGTGACTTACAGTATATTATTAGTTATTTATTCCGCAGTATATACAGATAGATATGTAAATCGTATAATAAAATAAAATCAAAAATAATCAGTGGCGCTACAACCTCTTTAGGTCTGGGCCTCAGATTTCTGAATTTTTGACGACTTTTTGGGTCTAAGACATGTCAGTTTCCTCGCGATGTTTTCCTTCACCGTTCGAGCGAATGTTAAATGCGCACATTGAAACAAAGCCCATTGGTGCAAAGCCGGGGATCGAACCTACGACCTCAGGGATGAGAGTCGCACGCTGAAGCCACTAGGCCAACACTGCTCTAAAAATTATATACCTAATCATTGTCATTAATCCTTTTGAAGTTCAATTCCTATCGATGTTCAAATACGCGAATCTGGCCTGGAAACAATACTCCACTCACTCAACACGTAACTAAACAAGATTTTTCGTGATAACACATAGGCCGGTAACGCATTTACGAGCACTCTGGCATTGAGAGTCCATCGGTATCACTTAACGAGTAAGCCTAAAAGACAAGAAAAAAGACCTAAAAACGCCTGCGCATCAAATTTTTGCCAAAACAACTTTTGCAAGAATAAGTTGGCCTGTGATAAATAAGGAAGTAAACAAATTCTACTCTCAAAGTTTCGAAAGAAGCATGTATTAAATAACTTTATTTTCAAGGGAGCTTTGCAGATTTCTTTTAAACGTAAAGTGTAGGACTATTACATCCATCTATAATTATCTTTTAATTTATTTATTCAAGAGAACATAACAGACACATCACAAATACCTATAGGATATAAAAATCCAAGTTATAATTAGACTCTTTAAACTGCTTCACAGACACAAGTCACAATCCATCGCTATTAAAAAGTTGACGAGCGTCTTTACTATCACTTGAATCTACAAGTACATAAAATGACTACATACCCCATTCTGCATCAGTCCCGAGCACCACATGAAAAAGAGAAAACATTAATGGTATCGTAGAAGAGGACTGAGTGGCTTTTATTGCCACTAAATCGTGTAACTGTAATCGGCACTTAACTGCTAATTACAATGGTTAAACTTTAACTAATATGTTAAGTGTTCTATACTTTCCTTTAATAAAATCCCAGAGGCCTTTAAGAAATGTATTAAAGAAAAGCTGTGTAACAAGGCTTACTATAAAGTTAACGATTATTTAGTTGATAAAAGGGCTTTCGACTAGTGCTAAACAGGCTACCTCTAATTAATTTGCGATATTTGTTTCAAAATAAGTGTTGTTTGCCATAGTAATTTTGTATGATGCTTTGCTACTTTAAAAGAGTACCCAGAGTTTTTTAACGCCGGCTTTTTTTCTCGGCCTACACCCTCTGTCTTTTTTGCCGATGAGTAGGGATGTCTACCGACTCAAATTTAATGACGTGAAATAAGTGATAACTATATCTTATATTCCATAATAAACATATTTTATTTATTTTTTTATAATGTGTTTTCGTATGTTTGTAGCGTGAACTTAAAAAGCAGCCCACTAGGTCGGATATAGTAAGTAGGCCTAGGTACCGATGGATCTACAGAGTAGAGGAGGACAAGCAATTGACGACAGGTTGCACAGAACAGGAAGCGCTGGAAGTTTCACGTATTGAGGCCTGGACGCAGAGCCAGCGCAGTGAGTGTGGACCGATATAAATTTTTTTTTTCACAATTAGACAGCATTATCTCTGAGTATGCGATTTCCATAATATTTTAAAAAATCCAGCCGAATGGAATTGAAAAGGCTGACGATAAATTAGTATTGATACATTAGAAGATCGATTAATTTTGAATCTCGAGTCTATAAATTTTTAGTTTAAATTATCAACTACTTTATTGAGTCTCCTGTAGCACCTTTATTTTAACTTATTTTAACAACTAAGGTTTTTACATCAACAAAATACGGTAAATAGAAAGTACTGTATGCTAAAGCCATGATTAATGTTGCTTTCTACTTTGTGTTTTCTCAAGAGAAAGGTAACAATAGTTAACAAAATTTATTCGCATAGAGAATTATTTGTGGTACCAAAATTTTGCACGATCTCATTTGTAGGGTGATTCGTTTTAAATAAAGCTTTTTATTTCTTTGAAATACGTTCACGAAACACTTTTAAGTATTCGTTAAAAAAAATATTTATTTATACACAATTAAATTGTACAGTCTAAATGCTTCAAAACTACAATGTCTCTTTCTTTTGCGAAAATAAAATCTGACAGAAAGAGACACAAGAGCTATTTAGTTAAAAGAATGCTTAATTGCATGCATTGCATAATGGTGTATTAAACTTTTAAATAATATAACAAATTCGGAAAATTGTAAAGAATATTTTGGCATTTCGACTTTTATTCAAACAATTTTAGTGAATTTTGTCGACCGTAAGAACAAATTTATAACTTACGGAACGTTCGTTCACCGTATGACGGTGAATGCCAGCTAAAAGTTTCACCAGATTTTCATCACCTCGTTTGCAAGCCCAGTGCATAGCAGTCTGTAAGTAAAATAAAATATTCAATTAAATTGCCTAGCATCGATATTAAAAATATATCTAATTAAATTTCAAACATTGACAAAACAGGATAATAATAATAATAATAATAATAGTCTTTATTTTCTTCTCTCACATATACATACAAGGTTATTATGATTAAACTAAGATGATAACATTAGGAAGTGTATGTGAGAGACTGGTCTCTGTAACAGGAGACCTGAGTGACAGATAGCCAGCCTCTCCACCACCGGACCGGAACACGTACAATCAGGTCATTGTCATAAGATACAATAGAAGAAAATAAGTATCTTATCTCTACTAAGAAAACGGCCTCTCAAATTAAAACCTAAGCCCAAAATACGATATTATCACGAAGAGAGTTAGTAGGTCGAACAAATTACTTGATTGCCTTTTATTTTTATATGTAAAACATTGACGGACAATATAATATCGTAATTATAGCTCCATAATCGGAACGTATTAGGATGATTTGCATTGAGATTAAAGATTATATTTTGTTTAGGGCAGGCGTCATTAGCATAGTTATAGGAATTAGCCCGGCCATCATCGGTGGTCATTTTAATTCTTAAAACGCACGGAATCTTCGGAAAACCGGTGTTCGTATGGCGGCTTATGTTTACATGCGTGTAAGAGCCGAGCCGCATACTTAGATACATACATAATTTCATAGATTATAAGTTATAGCTTTTAAGTTATAGCAATTTTCTTAATATGAGACTTAATACAGGAACTAGTAATAGACAAAGCTTATTGAAGTGAAACTTCTTTAGGCGCATAAGGGTAAATTTTTTACGTATGAAACGCAATAATAATATTAGCGTCACTAACATGTGCAGCGTTTTTGTCGAAGAAAAGGGAGAGAGCGATTGAGACCGATTGAGAGAGAGAGAGAGAGTGCGAATTTAAAATTAAAATTTCGTAAAGAGAATTTATGAAATATTAGTATTTTATATTTTATGCAAAATAATTTATTGAAAATTTATATGACTAATTGTAAATTAAAATGCCACGTGTGTTTATTATCGAAGAAATAAATTAAAAAAATTAAAATTTTACAATTTATATTATTTTTCGACACTTTTAATATTTTAATGACAATTAAATTCATTAAATAACCTAACATATCTTCCCTTTTCCCCTCCCTCTAAGTCTCTGAAATCTAAAGTTTTAGATTTGTATAAATATGAACAAGACTTAAAAATTAGTTTGGCAAAGAAGTTTTACTTCTGACATGTGTGCTTTGTACGCACGCACTTTTTTATGTAATAGGAGTCAAATGGACATGAGGATCATCTGATGTCAAGAGATACCACTGCCCATGGACACTGTCATTGCTAGAAGGCTCGCAAGTGCGTTGCCGGTCTTTTAAGAATTGGTACGCTCTTTTCTTGAAGGACCCTAAGTCGAATTGTTTCGGAAATACTTCAGTGGGCAGCTGGTTCCACATAATGGTGGTGCGCGGTAATATCTACCTTAAGAAACGCTCAGTTGTGGAACGACGGACGTCGAGGTGATACGGTTTGTATTCTGCCTTGACGTCCGATGATGAAACTCAGCTGCAGGTATTCGTCGGAACAACTACTTCTAGAACAGCTATTAGCCATATGCTCTACATGATGTTTGAACTTTTTAATTAAAAGGAATAAAACAGTCTATTTTTTATATTATTTAAAAACAAAATAATGATATTAATAAGAGGATATTAATTTCCGGTTGTACAAACAATTGTTCACACCTTATTTATAAATAAAACATCAGTCTTATTGTGTGTTTTATTAAAAACCTGAAAACGACATGTTTATTACTTTATAATTTTCATTACTAAATTTTAAGCTTTTTCGCCAAAACATGTAACATGTAACTAATAACTTTGTTTCAATAAAAAAACATTAAATGATTCTATATTTACAATTACAGATCTCATAAGTCGTAAAACGCTAATTACGTAGTTGGTCCCAAAGTTCTGTCACTAGCACATTATTTCTACATTTCGAGCAGGATTTTATAAAAAAAATTATTGCATTCTATTTTGGAATGTTTGATTATTGTTTTAAAACAAAAAAACAATAACTTTCCGTAATTTTTCACGATGGAGTGGACATTGAAAGTAAACCGAATAGTTGTTATTGCGTTGCACCGCTGTGGAAACTCGCCGAGTACCATTTTCAAGTTGCTCAAAAATTTGAATATAACGCTTAGGTTTGTGTACGGTACTATTGATAGGTACCTTGAAGTCTCCAGTGTTGAGGACAAGAAAAGAACTGGCTGGCCACGCTCCGCAAGAACACCAGCAGTAATCAAAGCTATCAAGGCGCGGATAGTAAGAAATCCTGTCCGAAAACAGAAGTTGATGGATTTGCAGATAGGTGTCAGTAGGAAAACAGTAAAAAAGGTTTTAAATTAAGATCTTGGTCTACGAGCATACAAAAAAAGAGTGGGCACTTACTTAATGCTCGTCTAAAAGCAATAAGGCTTAAGAGATCGCGGGTGTTGTTTAAGCGGTACGCGAAAAACCGATACCGTGATATCCTCTTTACGGACGAAAAATTTTTCGATATTGAAGAGAAGTACAATTAACAGAATTATACAGTGTACGCTAGGAGTTCTGAAGAAGCTGAAAATAAAGTTCCAAGGGTGCAACATGGACATCATCCATCATCAGTAATGGTTTGGTTGGGAGTGTCCTATTACGGGCTAACTGAGGTTAATTTTTTCGAAAAGGGGGTCAAAACCAGTGCTACAGTGTACCAAGAGACGGTTTTGTATCGCCTTGTCAAAGACATGTCCAGCACCCTATTTGCGGGACATCACTTCGTGTTCCAGCAGGACTCTGCGTCTGCATACAAAGCCAAGACCACTAAAGCCTGGTTTGAGCGTCAAAACATCGTCTTAATTAGACATGAGGATTGGCCTTCCTCCAGTGCGGACCTTAATCCTTTGGACCAGAAATTATGACAGGGCTTAGAGAGGAAGGTCTGTGGTAAACCTCATGAAAATTTGGAGAATCTGAAGTCATCTTTAAAAAAACCAGTGACTGAAATCGACACGAATATGGTGCGTGCTGCGATAGACGACTGGCCGCGACGCTTAAGGGCCTGTATTAAAAATGAGGGAGGTTATTTCAAATATTTTTATGCTTTTTTGTATTCCTTAATTAATGTACTAAAAATTGATATATCACTCATTACAAACTGATCAGTACTTTTGTTTTTATCATTATTTCCATTTATGACAGAACTTTGGGACCGACTACGTATATCTATTGTTTAATAAAACACTATTTTGACCGGATTGAAGTTATGTATTATTATAAATTTACAACTATTTAACATAATTTTAAATTTATCCGACGTTTCGTATCGTTTTATTAAATGAATAAAAGTTATGTTAATCAAAGACAATAATATCTATTGTTACTATAATATAATTGGCATCAAATTGTTATATTTACACAACATCAATTAAAATATATTATAGGTTGATTCACATGAGGAAATCTTTACGTAACGGTGCTAGGGGCTAAAATACGAATTTCTGGGTAAAGTTAACTATAACTTTATCTTGGGGTATAGAGCAATCGACGGTCCGACAAGATGTAGGCGTGATCGTCGCTGATTCAGTGGGGTTGTTAAAGACGGGCGTTCCTAGGTTCGACGTCGGTAAAATATTGAACGAGGGAACGTTGTTAATTTGCTGCACACGCCGCCGGTGCGATTTTCTAAGCCCGATAACCGATATAGGATGGCTTTTCGGCAGATGTATCCAAGTACCCTTATAAAATATATCGCAACAAGATTCTCATATTGAACGATGTTAGATAATATATAATTAATTAAAGATAATAGTGTCTAGGCCTCGGATTTCTGTACCTCTTTCTTGACAATTTCTTTTATTAAATAGGCAAGTAGGCCTTCTGTGCCTGATACGACGTTAACGTTTTGGGTCTAGGGCCGGTTTCCGCACGAACATTGGTGCACAGCAGTACGAGCCTCACGGAAGAGAGACGCTAACACCACTAGTCCAACACTACTTTAGTATATAATACGAATATTGTACGTTACGAAATATTTCGCGGCATATAATAGAACTCGTAACCAAACAAAGACGCTTAAATAAAAACAATACGTCTGACCAGTAGACTATAAT